TCTCAGTGCAACAAGGAAGGCACCACTCTGTTTTGAGAAAACTAGCCAGGCTATACTTGGGTTTCATTTATTTAATAGTTACTAGCTGTATTATGAGTGTGGAAATCCTCTCTTAGATCAGGCTCTCTGAAAAGAAACATTATCAGAAAGCAGTCCAGCAGGAATTCAGATTCAAGACTTTCTTCCTTACCTAATAGGTCAGCATCACACTCCTCATCCTGCTTGGGTGTTTTGTAGAGTTGCTTCTGTTCAGTATCGGCACATTCTGCCTCAGAGAAGCTTACAGCCACTTTCTCAAAAGCATACTGCAACAAAAATAATGTAGAAAGTGTAAAACCAATTTTACAACCTTTTTTGCCACTGTTAAGCAAATCAGTGCAGTTACTAAGTGAACCATACAGTTGTTAGGTGAATCCAACTCCCCCCCCCCATGGGTTTTGCTTGTGGGAAGCCAACTGAGAAGTTTGCAAATGGCAATCACATGACACTGGGGCAAATCCTAAATACATGCTGATTGCCAAGCATCCAAATTTTGATCACATGACTATGGGGATGCTGCGACCAGACATAAGTGACTTTTTTCACTGAGATTGTAACTTTGAATAGTCACTATACAAAGAGTTGTAAGTCAAGGGCGGCCTCTACAAACAAGTTAAACAGCACCAGTTCCAAACACAGGTCTATAAGGAATTCTACTCTTACTCCTCCCCACTGAGAAAACTGCCATTTTATTCCTGCTCTTCGCTTTCTTATTAACAATCCGTGAGAGGACAGCCTATTTTCTGACCTGGCCTCCCTTGAAGAACTGACACAGCTATAAAGATAGTAAAATTCATCAGTTAAAATTGATGCCTTTTGCCTGAAGCTTCCTTTCTCTCCCATGAGATGAAAAAAAAAATCAAGATCTCAAACAGGATTTGTGCCACATAAGAGATTTATAAAGAAAAGGCCTCACCTGGTTTGTTTGTCTTTCAGTCTCCTGCTGTTTATATAGAAAATCTTCAGCAAAACTTACAGCCTGAGCACAAGTTTCTGGGCCATGCTGCCTCACCCAGTTCTGGATCTTTGGAGGCAGGATCATCAGGAACTGTTCCAGGACCAGCAGTTCCAAGATCTGCTCCTTTGTGTGTCTCTCAACCTTCAGCCATTGACAGCAAAGTTCTTGAAGTTGGCCATAAACTGCCCTTGGACCCTTGGCCTCCAAGTAGCAGAAACGTCTGAAGTGCTGGCGACTTTTCTCTCTGCTGACAGCATCTCCTCTCAATAGGGCTGCCTTGACCTTTCCATAATCTTCTCTGTCTTTGCCTTCCAACATATTGAAGGCTA